AGATAAGAAGCAGCAACTCTTTCAGCAAGAGGTCGTGGAAGGAGGGGTGAGACAAAAGGGCAGGGGAAAACGCTTCCAGTGTCCGAATTCCAAGAACCAGTTGCCTAGTGCGAATGGCAAAATTAGCCAAGTGGAAATTTCCTCAAAAGTTGACTGGAGAAAAGCAATTTCCCAGTGAAAACATTCTTTAAAGTGTCATTTTATCCGGAGTTCATAATTTCCCCATGACGTATTAAACGGAGTTTGCTAACACTGAATCCAATGCAAATCAATCGGGACTTGAAAAAAAGCGTCGAAATAACCGGAGTGACGAATTAAGCGAGTGTCAAATTATCGAGGTCCGACTGTAGTGATTGCAAATATTTTTTAAGTGCTTAAAAAGTACTTAAAAGGCGCTTACTTTTGTTGAAAGATTTGGTTATATACCCAGTTAAATAAAGGTACAATATCATCTGTAAAATGATTTAGTAATTTATTTTTTTAGTTAAATGTTTTTTGTTCAGTAGTTTGGAAGACTAGTGCATTCAAAAGTGTTTATTATTTATTGATTTGAATAATATTCATGTTTGTTTTCACTCAAGTCTTTATCGATTCATTTCTTATATTTTAATATAATTTATATTATTGTTCTTTTTATTAAGATTGTATCTTATTTGCAAGTTGAACTTTTTTTTCTTGTAGTAAACAAATATTTTAGTTGACTTTTCTTTCTTCTTCAAAATTTATGTATATGCTATAGTTGAGTGGTCGTGACATGTTCACATTCAATCCTGAAATGGCATCTGCAGATCAGATGGAAGATGGTGAGGCAACATTTGACATCCTGAGGGAAGGAGATGAAGGAGAAGTAAGCTTTTTAATCATCCCTGTTTCTGGACTTGATTAGTGCCTTATTAATGTTGTTTTTCACTTTAGTCTATGTACCACAAAGTATATCCTATTCCAGCACTTCCTGTTTTATTTTATGGTAATGGAACCCTAATTAATCGAGCATCTTTGGGCGGAACCCTAAATTAATAAATAAAATTTATTAGAAGCTGTAAACATACTAACCAAAAAAAGACTTAATATTTAATGTGAAGAACACATTTTTTTTTAATAGTCGTTTTATCAATCAAACTTTTAAAATATGTTTTTATGTCCAACAGTTGAATTCGCATGCTTGGACTGGTATCTAGTCCAGCTCTGAATTTTTTTTTTGGTGTATATATTTATTGAAAATAAATAAAATGAGCTGAATTATGATTTTTCAAGAACTCTTATAAATGTTGAGAATAGTTATCAATGAAATATTGTTCATTATTCTTAAATTTGGCCATTTTATTTTGAACTGAAATGTTTGGAAAATACTAGTGTAATTTTTACAAATTTTGCCATATCTTTTTTTAATGACATTTTACTTAAATAATTTTATCAAAATAACTAAAATATGAAATAAATTAGGGTTTATTGTTTAAATATGAATATAATTGCAGGTTTCAAAAATCATTACTGATTTAAAGAGTTCAAACTTTAGAAACCTGCTTGATCTATCCACCAATTCTAGGATTCCGCAGAACTCCATTTGGGAACCATTATCTTTTTTTTTAAACATATATAACAAGTTATTTCAATGACAAGTTATTTCAATATGCCTTTTTTAATGTAACTATTTATCGGAGAGAATTTTATTTATTTATTTATTTTCTGGCGAAGGAGACAGATGGTGTTTGCCTTAAATGTCTGAAAGATTTCATCGTTTTTTTTTTAATGTTTTTTTTTTAACAAATTTTTAAAAAAAGTTCTTTGCAATTCAAAAGCTGGAAATTCATGAACAAAACTATGTTTTATTAACTATGTTACACCAGGACTAGAAAAGTAAGCGGTCATTTGAAATATCTTTAAGTACAATACTTTCTTTAAAGTTTATTTTTAAAGTGAGTTGCTGAGTTACTAACCTTTACTTTTTCCAAAGAAGTTTTACTAGTATAAATTTTAAATCCTTGCATTGNGCCACAAGTGCAGTAGGCATCTTGCATGGGACTATTGCCGATGTTGTTCCCTACACGATATATACCGGTGGAGGGCTTTGACGTATCTCAGGATCGCAGATATATTCATTTGCATAGGTGTCCAAAATACTTATTGGTAGTTAGGGTATATATATATATTCTAAGTGCAAGTAGAGTAACAAATTCAAAACCCAACTTACAGGGATTACTGATCAAACTCTAAGGCAGTAGCATCCTCTCTGCAGTGTATGCCGGTCCCCAAAATTACACAGTTAAACTTTAAGCACTGAAGGAACCTGGGATACCCTATAGCGTACTACAATGGGCGGGTATTTTACCGCCCATTGTAGTACGCGTCACAATTTCTTTATCAAAAGCATGAAAAATCCCTAAAATGAAAATGTGAACATTTGCATATTTCTTCTGAGATAAAAACATTGTTTTTAGTAAAATTTACTAAATGAATCTCTTATTTCTTTTTTAATTTAAATGAATGTTATTGATTAGTTTTAGAAGTAAAATTATTTCCTTTTTTATTAACTTATTGCTACTAGAAATTTTAAAGTTCCCTTATGAAGTTACAATATAGTTATCTATAGTTATTTTACATTAAAGAACTATATGTAGAAAGAAAACCTTACATTTTTAAATGACTAACTTGTTAAATATGTTTTAATCATTTCTTTATTATTATTTTCATGAAGATATGTTTACAAAATTTTTTAATTAACTTTCATAATTCTTTTCAGTTAATAATATATTGACATTAAAGTAATTGTATAGTTAGAATTAGTTTTTATTTCTTTTTATAATATAATTTGCCATTCAGTTACAGCAAAGTACCCAAAGAATTTGGGCAAAACCTTTTTGTTGTTTATAATGTTTAAAAATAATTGGTAAAAACACTTGCTATAGCAGCTTTATTTCATTGTGTTTTAAAATAGGTTTCAAAAATTATAAAGTTTGAAGTATTTGTGAAAAGTAAAATGTATAGAACTGTATGAAGTAATTTTATATAGAGCTGTAAAAAAATTAAATTAAAATTGTTTGAGTTGCTCTGTTTACTATTTTCAGCAATCTGCGAAGAATATTTTTTAAATTAGCAAAGTTAATTCCATGCATTTTATTTTATTCATTAATTTAAATTTAGTTTAAAAAAAGAAAAATAATGTAAAATTATATAAATTTGTATATTACTTTCTTGTTAGTCATTAATCTCTTTAGAGAGAGTAACTTTTTTGCGAGGAAATAAAATTTCAGTGCATCTTGTCAATTATATCAATCTTTTAGTCACATATTACTATTATATTTTTAAAAAAATATTACTAAGATTTGAAGTGTTTGTATAGTGAATAAAATAAACTACACTGTATGTTTTATTGCAGGAAACTGTTCCTTGCCTAGAAATATCTGCTGAATTTTTAAGTAAAACTATTGAAAATGCTAGTGAAGGAACAGTTGCATCACAAAGGCATTGGGAAGGTAATCAAGGTAACTATTTTTTATTATTTAATTCACTCTGGAAGTTGTGAAATAATGACTACCAGGACATATTTATGAAATAATAATTTACATTATATTTATGAAATAATAGTTTACATTAAAGAGATTCACCACTCTGAATGTTTTCAAAAATTGAGATTTAGCATTTTATGAAAGCTTTTTATACAAAATGTAAAAATCTTTTTTCTTCCAAAATTTGGATGTATAGAAAAAAGATGAAAAACAGAACAAAAAAAGCACAATAGCCAAATAGGGGCAAATTAGGGTGAAATGTATTTCCGCGTGCATCCTATGGACAGGTGGCGAGGAACAAGTGAATCAGCATTTGTATGAATAAAACAAGATTCCTGGGCATCAAGATAAACTGATGTGACTGGGGTGGAGATAATTTTGGTATTGTCGAAAACTAATTTAGGCCCAAGAATCCAACAATGTGCCGCAATTTCAATCTAATCAAACTGTTCAATCTTCTTGCATCAGTGATGCAAAAACTATTTTTGATTTATTTTAATAAGATTACATTCTATAATATCCGTAGCAGCAAAATAACTTGGGCCGTCAGTAGACTACCAGGTTGCCACTTCACAGGGAGAACAGGTAAAATCTGAAAAATACAGGCAATTTAAAAATCATCTATAAATAACAGGGAATTTTGAATTTTTTCTTACAAACTAGGAAAAAACAAGGAATTTTTTTCTTATTTTTGTCTTTTAAGAAATGCAATATATAGCATATTTAAAGATGATAGTTCAGCTTTATATTATATTATTTAATTTATTATGGCATTATTTGTTTTATGTTGAGCTGTTATTTATTTCTCCAAGTATTTCCAGCAACTAAGACTAGCTTTGTTATCCTAATATAGTTCACAAGAGCGTAGAGAATATGTATTTCCTATTAATATATTGTGTATAATCAGGGGTCTGTCCAGGCCAAATTTACTACCGTTTAGCGGTAGTTTCACAAATTCAACTTTAGGAAAAACGGTAGTTTCACAAATTCAACTTTAAAAAAAAAGAGGGAATGTTTCACAAAATACTTTTTCTTAAAATTTTATTTTTGTATCCCTTAAGAAATGATAAATCCATATTTTTGTGTTGATTTTTTAATATAATTTTTAATTTTTCACAAATTATGTCTAAATTTTCACAAAATAGGTACNTATTCCGTATAATATGTACAGAGATATGAGTGGCAACCTTGGACTATATTCACAAATCTTTTCTCAATAAGGGTCTATTTTATTTTATAACTCTCGTTGAACAGCTGACCCAATTTTATGGGTTTACGACTGCTAATGTTCAACTATAATATATACCTTATGATTTTGAACCCAATAAAGAAGACAAGGGAACTCCTGGATCGAGTATTGGGAGAAATTTGCCTTCGGGGGGGGGGGACTTTTTGATGGAGCTAACCCGCATTTGTGTTGCATGGAGAGAGAAACCACAAGAACCTCCCATGGTTAGCCTGGTGGCAAGGGGACTCGAACCAGTGATCCGCCTACCACTGAGGATATTTCACGTCAGCACTGTGGCCAGTGCAAGCTGGATGCCGAATTTGATTCACAAGATATTTTAAATTCAATATTCAGCCAATATGGGCCATTCTTGGACCAATATTAAAAAAATCTAGGCATCCAAATATTGGTCCCTTTGCCATGTTCTTATAAAACTCATAATTAGCCAAACTAGAGCCACGGTAAAATTTTTGCTAGGAATCTTGTATGATTCATTTAAGGTTTCAATTTGTGAGTATTCTATAAGCTTGCATTTTTTAATTATTTTTAAAAAAAATCATTTTAGTTGTTGAGGCCGCAGGTGGTGTGAAAGAGGTTGAAGTTAGCACTGATGCAGTTCCCATTGATGAAAACCTATTTGATGAAGATCTAGATGATTTAGAAGATCTAGAAGAAGAACTAGAAAATCTTAATGTTGATTGATGAAAATGTTATAGAATTTAATAAGACGTCATGTTATAATGGCTCTGTGTTAAATTTGTACAGATTATTTAAAATGAGCTGTGTGATTTTACTTCAATCGATATGCATTAAAACAGATTTTTTGTTTTGCATTGAAAATTTGTCTGTGTTTTTACTGTCTTCTTGTTTGAATACAAAAACTTTTCATCCATATTATATTAATTAAATTCAAATTTCTCTAGTAAAGAAAACATTTTACTTGTTTTGTTTTTCTGCAATTAAATCCATTTTTATTTTATATGAGGTGTTTCATATAACTGTTCTTGTTGTTTGTCCTACTCAGTGCTTTGTTAAATCCTTCTCAAAAACTAGATCAAAACCCTATAGGTATTGCAAATTAATATTAAAGCAAAGGCAAAGCAAAATATGTCCAATCACCAGCGAGGAAAGCAGAAAAAATATCAAAACCGATATGATTGTTTGGTCAAATGTGGAGATGTCTTCTCCAGCAATTAAACAGTTTTTATTTTTTTAGTTTCCCCTATCTTAGTAGTTTGGATAGTGCTTTTGTTTTTTCCTGATTTAATATCTATTTAAGTATTGTTTAAGATCTGTACATATAAATATATTTTAACTTCCCTTTCGTCTAGGCGTAAAAAAATATCTATTAAGGGTAATTATTACAGAACACCTTGTATATTTTACATAGCAGTACATACTTCACAGTCCTTTGAAAAGTTGTTTTCCAGAGTGCCTATTGATAGCCCGTCAATGTATAGTGTGCATGTAAATGTATACAAACTTGTAAGCAAACTCATTAAGTACTGTAAGAAATGTCAACAAAAAGTCAAGCGCCTTTTTTTCCTTCTAAATATAAGTGTCTACTAAAAAAGTTTTAACAAAATGAAAACTTTGCAATCAATTACTGCTAAAATTTAAATTTTCTTTTTTTTTCCTTCAATTTTTAATCCTATTGTTAATGGCCTTACTACTGTACCATATTTGTCTGATATTTGGAAATAATAAATTTTTTTTTGGATCTTTTAACTTTTTGGTGTGATGTAAATTTGTTAGATTTTAATCATTCCTGTTTTCAACGTTGATCTGAAATTTAAACTGGAAAGAATAATTTAAATGGTGGAAGAAGAAAAAAGTTTTGCTGATTGAAAAAATTAAATTTAAATTATTGAAAATATTTAAATTTTTGTTTACATCTCTTTAATAGTATTGGTGAGTTCCCACACAAATTTTTATCATTTATATACACTAAAGAATAAAAAGTTTTGCTTTTACATTTCTGGTGGTAAAAAATTTTGACTTTTTTCCAACTAAAACTTAAAGTTGAACAATTTACTAGAAAATTACATTTATCATTTCTTACATAAGTTATTATTATGTAGTCATGTTAGTTACATTACAACAAAAGAATGGTTCTACAAAAATAATTCTGAAATTTCTTAATTTTATAGGACTGATTTAAAATCAACTTGTAAAGAAATGAAATACATTGATTTTAGTTTACGTTCTAAAATTAAATGATAAGAAATCAACTTATAAATTATGCACGTTTTATGAAGAAAACAAATTCACAATGTGAAAATTTTAAATTGAATACAATAGCCATAATTTTTGAATGTTTCGATTGCGGTCTTTTAAAACGTCCAATGCAAAGGTTTATATTTAAATACAGTTCAAATATCCTAATAAACTAAAAAAAAATTGCTAGCAAAATTTTATGCTAATTATAAATGTGAGTGGTATACTAAATGTTACTTCTAGCGCACCTAAATTTAAGGGGAAAAATATTAGCAAAAACTACCGATTTTTGCACTAGTAACAGCAAAAGTATAATATTTTCCTTAAAAATAGAGCCCCTTAATAGTGTTATACGCCAGCGCAATTGTAGTATTAATTCTAGCCCACCCAAATTTAAGGTTTGAATTTTTAACACAAAAAAACGAAAAAATCTTTAAAAAAACATGCCCCTTAAACTACATTTTATCATCATATATTAAGGTTTTGAATTCTAGTGCAAAACAAATTTAAGAGTGAAACTCTACTGCGTAAGGTTTGATTTTCACCTCAAAAATAACAAAAAATCTAGATAGAAATTAACCATATTTTCATGAATAAAGTCTTCCATTTAACATTTTTTGTAAAAATTCTGCTCCTTAAACTACTTTTTATCATCAAATTTTAAAGTTTGAAATCGAGCGCAAATTGATTAAGGGGTAAAGTCGGTTAGGTACGTCATTTTCAATGTTATAGCATAGTATTTCTTTCAATTTTCCAAGTTGTTTTTTAAATGTATGCACAGTGTACACAATAAGCATAAATAATAGCATGGGTCAATTTCACTTTTAGACTCATAACATTTAACCAGTTGAATCATTATGAACATAGGCATCTGTTATATCAGTGTTTCCCAAAGTGGTCCATATGAACCCCCAGAGGTCCGTGGTACCATTCAGGGGGTCCTTGAAGAATAAAAACTGATTTAGGGGTCCCTGAACAACGTCAGGGGGTCCGCGTGAGATTTAATATAAAATAATAAAATTGTAATTGGTTTTTATTATAATGAAAATTAAGATAAGCAAAATAGTAGTGATTTTTATGTCCTAAGTAAACTATAAATAAAGGTGGGTGCTTATAATTATTAACAGTGGTTTGTTATAAATTAAACAGTTGATTTACAAATTTTCTTATATCTTTTATTCACTTTTTGAGGGATAACAGTATGAATGAGTCGAAGAAAAAACTCCGAAAATACAGGACCGTCGCCAATAGCCCATTGTGCAGCTCTAGTGCGACGTAAATGAACTACAACAACGAAAATACAGTGTTGAATATTCTTCACCAGGAAATAGTACTTTACCTATGAAACAGATTAACTTTAATGCCAACAGATGGCGCGCAGACTGAAGGAATATTTCTTAAATTTACTAAAACACGATCTATTGTTTCTTTCTGGGGTTTTATCGAACCAAAAGGATATATTTTTATGGTTTCTTTCCCTATCGTTTTTTATTTTAACTGATTAACGAGATCCGATTTGATAAATGATGGCTGGAGGCTACCACCAAAGGTCGAACCATCTAGAAGATAAAAAATTGAAAGCCAAAATAGGAAAGTCTGCATACGATATTATTCAGCAGGCCAAGGCTCACATGGGCTGCATAATGTGAAATGTAATTTTTCTAATTCTCGAAAAAATAATACGTTGTTTCCGTTATTTCAATAAGATAAGTAATTTTAACGTGATTTAATATATGAATCTTAATCTGCAGCTTAACGAGGTTTCGTGAAACTTCTGAACAGTCAGGAAAAATTAAATATGAGTGAGAAAGATGGTGGTATATTATTTACATTCTTTACGCTATTGTTATGAGTTTTAAAAGTGTCAATACTCTATCTAGCATAGTTATCGAAATTTCTCGTTTACTATCTTCGTTTTCGATTTAATTTTGAATTGGATTAATGCGTTAGTTTTAATTATTACAACTTGTTAAATTAAATATCTTCAATACCTAATTTTTTTTTTTTTATTGCTTCTGCTTAATATTCCACCTTTTTTTCCCGCTATTTGGACAAAAATTAATAATTAATATTAGCTTTTATTAACGAATTTATAGATCGCACATCACGATAAGCAATTAAGACATTACCGTGATTTGCATTAATGTAACTTTTGATTCGAATTCATGGAATTTCGTATATTCTTGGAATCATATTATTCAATTTTCATATTGACTCGTTTTCGAATCACCCATCCGAATTGACGCGAACTCAAATACCACATCGCGTTTCAAATTAACTCGATTAATGCATCGCAATTTGAAAATCGGACATCGCGACCCGTATTCGTGTGATTTAAAAAATCACGCGTAGCTCTTGAAATTCAATTAACCCACCACGATTCGTATTCCCTTGGTATAAGAAATAGTATATTACAATCCCACAAACAGTAATTCTGCTGGATTTTCCGGAAGATTTTACTTTCTTATTTAAATTTATTGTATAATTTTAAATTTTTTAATCTATTCTTGGATTTAAAAAGGAGAAACTAAAGATATATACACTCTATAACAAAAAAAATCGACGCACTAAGAAGGAGTTGTCCGATTGAAACGAAAATTGGTGGATAGGAAGACAATGTACAAAATAGTAAATTATTAAAATTACAGAACAATTTAATAATTTATTGCCGAGTTACAGTAACAAGTTCAATAAGGAGTTGACCCACCTCTAGCCTGGATACAAGCTGCCACACGGCGTGGCATAGACCGATAAAGCTCTCGGATGGTCTCTTGCGGTATTTCCTGCCAAATTCGATCCAATTGTCGAACGAGGTCATCAACATTCCGTGCCAGATGCAATCGCCTTCCCATCATATCCCAGACATGCTCGATGGAGAGAGAGATCTGGTGATCTGGCAGGCCAAGGAAGAGTTTGACAAGCTTGCAGACAGTTCATAGCAACACGTGCCGTATGTGATCTGGCATTGACCTGCTGAAAAACCAGCCCAGGGCGCTACAAAAGGAACGGTAGCAAAACAGGTCTTAGGATGTCGTCGACGTACCACTGTGCAGTAAGTGTACCTCTAATGACGACCAAAGGGGTCCGGCTGTCAAAGGGAATGGCACCCCAGACCATAATGCCTTGTTGAGGGCCGGTGTGGCGTGCAATAGTGAAGGCAGGATCCCCCCTCTGCCCTGTGCGTCTCCAAACACGTCTTCGATGATCGTCAGGACACAATTGGAAGAGGGATTCGTCGCTAAAGACTATACGTCCCCAGTCGGCATCATTCCAGCCATATCTGTTCAAAATATTCATGCATACGAAATTTCAAAGAAATCGGATGATTGCTTCTTGGTGCGTCGATTTTTTTTTATAGAGTGTATATATACGTGGATTGAAAAGAAAACCAAACTTTATTCATAATCAATAGTTGGTAGAGCCTCCACGAGACGCAATTACAGCGTGAGCCCTCAGGGGCATACTTTCCACAAGTCCTTGAGTGACGGCTAGTGGTATTTTCTTCCATTTGGCTTGGAGAAGACGTGTAAGTTTCTTCACCGATTTTGGACGTGTAGTACACCCCTTAATTTGGAGTAACAGGGGTCCACCCCGTAAAACTGCCACAACGTCGGAAGCACATTGTCATCCAAAATAGTGCCACAAGTGCAGTAGGCATCTTGCATGGGACTATTGCCGATGTTGTTCCCTACACGATATATACCGGCGGAGGGCTTTGACTTATCTCAGGATCGCAGATATATTTGTTATGACTCGAGATTCTTTTGCTTCTTAATTACTTTATTTTACCTTTGTATTGCTGGCACTTTTGCTCTGAAACAATACAAAAAACATAATGCTGTAACACTGCAAGAAATTAAAAGTTATGAACAGTTCACAAGTTCATTCGTTTCACTGGTACGATTCGACGTCCACATCGAGTTGTTCTTGCTTCCTCTTGAATATTGGCATTACCAAGTTTTGGTTTTGGAGTTTTCAATTCTTCCAGAATATGTGCAATACTAGGCTCATGATCAGGCTTTGTTCTGGTTTCCTGGTAATCTTCATTCATATTGTCAATGGAACTAGGTTCCAAAGGATAAATTCGTTGAAGGGGTCTTATGATTTCACCACTGGCTACCCTTAATTTAGCCACCCGTTGAACATTATCCTTGCCAGGAAACAGTTCAATTACTCTAGCCAAAGGCCAATTCATTCGGTTTGGATTTTGAGACTCAACTAGAACAATTTCTCCCCGGAGTAATAGCCTTTCTCTTTGAAGCTGTCTTAGGACTTCTTACCAATTCGCCAAGATATTCCAAGATATATATATATATATATATAGAAACGCTGTCGTAAATTTAGTCGTAAATTGTGAAGGTAACGCACTCGTTTCAGTATATGCTGAGAGTCGATTAAATCTAGATCGAAAGTTTCACGTTCTTTTGAGTCTTGAATGAAGTGAGCAGGCGTAAGGGGTTTCAATTCGTTGGGGTCGTCTGACAAATATGTTAATGGTCTCGCATTTATAGCCGCCTCACAGTCGTAAAGCAAAGTCAACATTTCTTCGTAGGTGACACAAGCTCTGCTCAAACATTTTCGAAGGAGTTCCTTAACGCAGCGAACCATTCGTTCCCCAAAACCACCATACCATGGAGCTGATGGTGGGCTAAACAACCACTTAACTTTCTGTAGAGAACATTCTGTTTGTATGAAATCCCAATCCAAATATTTTAACGCATTTGCTGTACCTACGAAGTTCGTACCATTATCTGTATAAAGAGTAGAACATCTTCCTCTCTTTGCCCAAAATCTTCGTAAGGCTTGCATAAATGATTCTGTGGAGAGAGATGAAACTAGCTCCAGGTGGACTGCTCGATATACTGCACACGTGAAAAGTACTATCCACGCTTTGTTTCCACCTCGTAAGAAAAGAGGACCAGCTAGATCTGCGCCAGTTATCTGAAATGCTGAGACTCGGTTTACTCTGTCAGGCGGTAAAGGAGCTGGNATTAGGCAGGTATACCAGTTTTTTTGGCTCTTCAGTGTAGTTATCTATAGTTATTTTACATTAAAGAACTATATGTAGAAAGAAAAACTTACATTTTAAAATGACCAACTTGTTAAATACTGTATGACTAGTAATATATATTAATACATTTGTCAAAAGAAAAATAATAGTTTCTAATTTACATTTTACTACAACTTCGGAAAATCATTTTAAAGATAAAGCAAAAGATGGCAGGTATGAAATTATATAGTATCAATGCAATTTGTACACATGAAATAAAAAATCTTACGTCACGTTTTCTCTTCATACATATTTTTCCTTCTAAATTGTCCACTTCCGGGTAACTTTATTTATTGAATTTTTTATTTAGTATTTCATTAAATATAGTAAGTTTTTTTTAATAAAAACAGGTATCAATATTTGTATGGTTAAAATATTAAAGTTCAGTAATTGGCAATGCAAGAACATTTAAAATTTAGCCTTTCTGTCAGCTTTTCACTCTGTTACCTTTTTTTTCTACGTTACCTACCATTTATTAAGCTTTAATTCCTTATTAACTTAGCAAAAATTAATTTATTGGGAAAATCGGTTTTTGATTTAAATTTACAGTGTAAATTTAACTTGAGTTTTAATTGTTTATTGTTTCAGTAACTTAGTTTTTTTTTTATTATTATTTAAACACTATTGAACATATATAACAGAGGGGAATGAAATACAGATTCAAATTAGTGTTTTATTTCTTATATTTAATGTCTTTATTTTCAAAAAGTGCACTGCTGTTTTATAGACACAAAACATTCCATTTGCAGCTGAAATTTAAATGGGTAGAAATTCGAATAGTAATTTTGTTAAGAATTTTTTTTTAAAAATGCTTTTTAAAATGAATACATTTTGAAAATGACCCACACAAATGCATGTTGATTATTTAGTCAAGTTCAGCAAAATATAAAAATATTTCTGCAAATTAATTGCCAAGTAAACTATCAATTTTTCACCATTGGTAAATATCTTTTAACAGACTATAAGTTGGCAGGTATGAGATATTGCATGCTCGTCCGAAAAATTTTAATCATTAGATTATTAGTTAGCTGTTCCATAATTTTGCATAATTAATTTAAAATTCTTGCCATTATTAATTCCATTTTTTTCACACATAAAATGGTAACCTACGTAGGACTTATCATAGAACGATCGTCCTTTTCACACCGTGGCCACTACGTTCCACTCTACTTCGAATTATTTACGAAAGAAAGTTTTTATGAAATTTACAAATGATTTCGTTCTAAAATTACCAAATTCTATACGATTTAAAAAATATTCTAAAAAATAAAAAATTAAGATAGAAAACATTTTCTCTAATACTAGGATTAAAAATGTTTTAATTCTTTAAAACTTTGTGTCTTTTTGGAACAATATAAAAAAATTAAATCTAAATACACCGGTATAATTTAAATTTATATCGTTTTCAAGAAAAACATTTTTCACAGAAAATTTAATCTAATGATTTGGCTGAAATTTCTTTATATACTTTTGTTTCATCACAATTTGTGAATGCAGCGTAATGATGATTATGCTAGACTTATTTGATTTTGCTATACTAAAACAGGTAAATATTACTTTTATGCAAGATAAAACCAAAAAGTAGTTAGTTTGTTTTTTCAAAAATGCTCGCCAATTTGATAATCTCTTATATCAAAATTCCACGGATAATTCTGCTCGTGCAAAACAGTTCAACGAAGGATCTTAAATGAAAGTTAGAGGAAAACACATAGGTCCTGTATGTAATCCTAAAATGTTCCCGAAACTGAAATTTTTCCATTGGAGGATTAAGGCTCACTTCAAAGCGACTTCCTTCGCCTTGTATTTTCGAAATAACGCTTCAGAAAAGGGATTACCACGTTTTTTCTCTTTTTCCACCATTTTTGTAGAATTACGCTCTGCAAATCGAATCATTCGAAGGATTTGTTAAAAGCTAAAGAGTTCTTCCTCCATGCTTTTTCAAGAAAACGAAAATGACAGTGGAATTTTTTTTACTCTTTTTCTTTTACCGATGTGCAGTTATTTTAAGAGTTGCGGGATTTTTTGTTATTTGTTTATTTACTTAAAAGTTTATTAGTGGTTTGTGTTTCCTTTGCAGTTCTCGTCTCATTGGTTTTCAAAACGAACAACAAAAACAGCAAAATTCTATAACCTACAGTAACTGCACAGACTGCAATTTTAGTACATGAATGTTACTTTATTTTACCCTTTTTTGTTTCCTTTAAAAGTTATGAGTGGTTTGTGATTTGCTTGCAGTTCTTGTTACAGTGGTCTTAAAAACGAATAACAAAAAAAGCAAAATTCTATATCCAACTATAAGTTTGAGTAGTTGCACGGACTGCAATTTTAACTATTTTAGTATATAGATGTTACTTTAATTTTTACCTGTATTTATTTTATTTAAAAATTGTCAGTGATTCGTGTTTTGTGTGCAGTTCTTGGCTCAATGGTCTTCAAAGCGAAGAAGAAAGAAAAAAAAAGCAAAATTCTGTATCCAACTATGACCATCAATAATTGCACGGACTGCAATTTTAACGATTTTAGTACATGGATGTTACTTTATTTTACCTTTGTTTGTTGTATTTGAAAGTTATTAGTGGTTAGAGTTTCACTTGCAGTTTTCGTCTCATTGGTCTTCAAAATGAACATAAAGAAAAGCAAAATTCTGCATCTTACTATAAACATCCGTAAATGCCATGACTAGTATTCGTTGTTACTTTATTTTATGTTTTTTGTATTTTATTTTAAAGTTTATTAGTGGTTTATGTTACATTTTTAGTTCTTGTCTCAATATGTGGTCTTCAAAACGGACTTCAAAAAAGTAAAACGCTACATTCAACTACGAAAATAGTCAATACGAAGTACCGAACCTAGGGCTCAACTTCTGTCCTAAAAAATGATAAGTTGAATTAGAGTCTCTATTTTGTCTTATTTGGATTGATAGCTATTAGTAGCTGATCAAAGGAAAAATGAGAGGTAGTTAGTTTAAAAAAATAAAGTACAATTTTATTTATTTATTAATTTATTTATTTATTACTATATGAATATGAAAAAGGGGGAATGTTAAAGAGGAGCGATCACCAGTTAGAGAAATAGGATGCAAGAAAAATAAAATTAAATAAAAAAAAAGAGCACGTTAAGTTCGCTTGTACCTTATATCCAGGTATAACCAGTAAGTGCATGGACGCCATTTTCCAATCCAGCGGCGTTTAACGACCAGCTCTCCTGTTTGGCATTTTCCTAAATTAAAAAAAAAAAAAATGGTTCTAGAATTTTACTTTAGTTTAGGTAATAAATTTTAAGAGAAATAATAGTTTGCATTATAATTGCTACCAACTACAGCCAAGGAAAAAAATCTCCTAAAAAGAAAGCGAGTCGTTGGATTGTGAATTAGCTACCCGGCTTGACATTGTAACCATTTTAGTATTTTGACGTTACTTTTTATAATTCATTTTTATGTATTTTTTGCTTTTCTAATTTTGGTGGCATTATTGCAGTTCATAAGTCATTTTATTAAGCTTTTTTTGGACTGATAATTTTTTTTTGTACATTTATTTTACGTTTTAGGTAGTGTTAGAGCTATGTAGATAAAAATCATGTTAAAATGACAGGTCCGTGTATTTTCATTGGACAGATAAATCACATGGTATAGCTCAGTTTTCTCACTTTATGATCGAGATTTTGTTAGTTGTCACCAGCATAAAATTAATGAATATATTGTCTGTCTGTAACCAGTAAAATACTTTTTTTCCTAATTTAAAGATATTTACCTGTAATCTTTATTCATTATCCTTTCTTTCTATTCTCTGCCATAATTACATTTTTTACTTTGATTATTATTACAAACCAAAGGCTGAAAAGAAAAAGCATTATTTCTTTATTATAAAATAGCTCTTTAAAACTACCTTATTATGTAACATTTTATAATAAATAAATTTAAATATTATAAATTGGTGTAACTAATTAATCACTTTGCAATTATTAAACAGTATATAGGTTTTTATGAAACAGTATCTAAATTTGTATATAATGTTTTATTGTAAATATAAAATACATTGAGTAAGTTTCCTGTATCCTCTCAGACTCGTTTTATGATTGTCAAATAGATTTAACCCTTTGATGCAGAATTTTTATTTAATATGCTTTTACACCTTTTTACATTATTTTGTGTTATTTAGGTCAAAATAAGTTAACCATATTATGTTTAGTATTTTAACAATTTATGGTTAAGAAATACACCATAAAACAGCATTGTTTTTTTCTGCTTTAAAGGTAAAATCTTTCACTTATTTGTAGTTACTTAGATCTGAGAGAAACAGTTATTCATAACTGAAATTTCTTAAATTTACGAAATCAATTATTAATACATTTTTGAATATAAATTTAAAAAAAAGTTTTCCAACTACTTTTTTTGGATTTTACAATTTATTATAAGCCCAGACACCGGATTTTTGGGATGCAGAAAATCCTCAGCGGCCATGTCGTATGATTATGCGGCATGTAAAAGATCCCTGGAATGCCTCATTGGCTCTTGGCATTTCCGGCAAAATTAAATTCCTAGTGCACTTTAGCACCCAAATAGAGTCTCGGTGCTACCATCTAGTGTGGCAGAAACTAGACGTCCAAATTAACATGACCAACGGTATCTCACCCATTGTGGTGGTCCTGAAAGAGTGGATACCACCTCTGGAGAACGCACTAGGTCTGCTCATCGGCAAGAGCGATTGTGTAGCTCATTGGAAATAAAATACAATTTATTATAAATACAATTCCGATAATCTAACAAATTTTTTTAGCATTTATTAGACTGTTTTTTTTTTACAATTAAAAAGTAACAAAATATATTTTTGCTTGAAATTAAAGCACCAGAAAGAAATATATATAAGGAGGGCCGGTGTACCATCTGCGTCATACAGTTACACTCTAGCTGGTTGAACTTCTGAAACTGGTTGAATATATAGCTAAAGCTCCCTTTTTTGTTAAATGCAACTTATGACTAATTGAATTGTTCATGTTAGATAGTATATGATTTTTCATGTATTATTTCAATTTATCTGGTTTATTGATGGGTGGAAATATTGGAGTCTTGACTTTGAAAGCTGGTAAACGATTCTGCCGAATACAGAAGTGTGCGCAACAGTGAAGAGTGAGAAGTGCAAAGCATGAGCATCTATGCTTAATTTATTGGACATTTATCAGAAAGCCCATGACAAGAAAAAAAATTAAGAGGTTTAGTGAGCTTATAAGAGAGCGACGGTTGGAGCTCAATAATATTTATATAAAATAATTTCATTCCATTTATCTAAATAATGCAGACATTTAAAATTTTGAAAATATTGAAGATAATCATAAAAGTTTTATTGGCTTACATTTCTCTTCATTCTATTTAGTAATTACTTTATATTTGCTTAATGTTTTTACAGTAAAACGTAGTTATAGTATGGCTTTCGGGAGAACTCCTCCAGACACTCGTCTCGCGTCGTGGCGGGTACTATGGTTACGAGGAAAGGTCACTTTGAATAGGGGTGTGGGGTGTATAGTTTTGTCTTAATCTTAACTTAGGTCGTCGTAAGTAAACCAATTTACACCTTCTTTCCTCAATTTCACCCCTATTAGAAATATGCTTTTGCTTGTTACCATAGCAGCAGACAAACCCAAATTTTCAGTTTGGAGGAGTTCTCCTCAAAGCCACACTATAACTCCAGCTTTTTCGAGGAAAAGGGTAGTGTGTAAACAGTGAAATGGGCAGACAATGTCACCTGTGTATGTATTTTGAAGTTATTTTTCGTTCCACAATCGTAAGTTGCGTTTTTAACAATATTTTGTCAATAAAATAAAAAATCTATAGTAAGCAAGCTAAATGTCATAAATTGTTTTTGGAAGAAAATTTATAGTTTTAACAAAATATTTCAAAAATTTATCAAAATATTTTCATTTTTTTTTAGATGTACTGGTTTTATAAAGGAAAGCAAAGGAAATACTCAAGTTTTGCAAAGGATATGCATGACAGTTTTTAAAAGGAAAGCTATCAATTTTCATGTAAATAATATTTAAAAGTAAGTATATTTTAACAATTTTCTGCGATATTCTTAAAGTTTCGTTACGTCACTGGGCTTAAATTAAAATTTCAATTTCTTTATATATAATGTAAAAGTTTTATAAAAATTTTAGTAAGCAAAAAGCTCTCGCCAATTTAGTTCAAGTACTTACGGAACTGCACTAAAATGTTCGTCATTTAAGCTGAGAATAAGGTTAAACTTTTACAACGAATACGAATTCTGCTTCCTACTCGCATCGACCACACTGTTGTTGCAAAATATCTTTAGTGGTAGACGGATCATGGGTTTGAATTCCCTTAGCGTGGGATGTTCTTCTCCTTGCAACGCAGATGTTGGTTAGATCCATCAAAAAATATCCACCAAGACTAGTTTGTCCCATTGCTTGCTCTAAGAGTCCCCTCGTCTTCAGGGCTGGGTTCGAAATTACATGGATGCGGAATTAATGGTCACTAATCCAGACTTGGGTCTGCTGTTCAATGCCGGTTACAGAAGATAAAATAAGAAAACTGTTGCCACGATTCGAACCATTTCTTTATGATAGTTTCATTTCAACTAAAATTTGACTTTTCAAGCTTGGTTATTTAATGCAACAATAATAAATAATCAAAAACGTATTGTTTGAAAGGGCCTTTCTGGTCACACAGTATCATCTGCCGAAAGGTCTGTAGCTTGTTGCGTGTTAACATCGCGATGTGACCCTGGGTCTATCTTCGTGCTGTCTTTCTCTGAATTGTGCAACCTGTTTTTTTAATGACAATTTCCAATAAGCTGTATTTATGTCATTGAACACATGTGTATGTACCAGTAAATAAATAGAAGGCATTTGCAATAAGCATAGAAGCATGCAAATGAATGATATGAGGAAATAAATAAAACGAAAGTGAGAGGAGGCGTCTCTAAGTGGTTTCACCATTGTATAGTGTGGAGGTTGCGGGTTCGATTTCCACCGTAGCTTTGTAGAATCCTTTTCTTAAATTTAATCTATCTTTTCCTTTTCTTCAAAGTAATTGCTATCTGTTCTTCAATTTGACAAAAGCTTATTAGCAGTAATTTCCAATGAGTTTTCAAGCCTGTATAAGTATGTGTAACAATAACTTAATGATGCAGCCTCCCTTACCGAGCGGTAAACCCTCTTTTTTAACGTGGGGGTGGCGGTTTCCACACCCGCAGTACCCCTGGATGTGATGTCCTCTGTATTGTGCTATCTGTTCTTCCACTTGACGAAGGTTTATAAGCCTTAACTGAGTACACAAGCCTGCAAATGTATGCTGTATCAGTAAGTAAATAACTGTATGATAACATGTTATCTAAGTTCCTATGATTTAGGTATGCGTTCTTATAATAATTCTCTTAAAATATTTTTACGTATTATAATTTTTAAAAAAAGACTCGTTAGTTAATATGTGCTTAAAAACGTATTTATTTATTAAGTAATAAATGTTAATTATTCGGATTTCTGATGTATCAAAAAATGGTCGTGTTATTGTTAATAAGTTTTGTAAATTTTGAATATTGTTTAAAATACAGATTTTAATTTTTTAAGAAAAAAAAGAAAGTGGAAGCAAGTTACTGATTCTTTTATGTTAGAGTTTTATTAAAATCTATTTAGTGTATCCAAGATTTTTATAACGTATACTTCAAATTTGTATAGTATATCGCCGAAGAAAAAGAAAATCAAAAATTCTAATATCACGTAGTCTTTTTATCTCTACACAATTTCTTCAGACTGTCACATTTAATAATACGCCGTTTCAAGCATAGATGCATATTTATAAAATATTCTTAAACAAATGTAATAATTTGTTGGTAAAAAAACATGGAATTATCTCTAAGTACAATTTTATAATGTAAGACTCATTTATCGAAGACAATTAGTAGATCATCAAATTATCAGTAGATCATCAAAAAGTTTATTATTTTTTAAAAAAATTCTTAGCTGAACAAGAAGCTATACTATTTAGTACGAATTTCATTAAACATTGCCGGAAGCCAAAATCTTAAATAAATCAAAAATAATTGTTGATTAGAGAGGGAAAAAAGATTTAGTGAATCTCTCCGATATCCCAATTTTTTCGCACTCCAATCTGTAAGAAGTAATTCGATACAATTGATTTCTCGCGTAATAACGATATAGGTGGATATGTCATTATTGGTCGATTATTTGTCTTTCCCGAGTTTCCAA